TATCATGCTAGATTCCTCTTGATTATTTTAGAAATTTTGGAATGTGTACCTTCTCCTCATCAATTAGTTTCTTATTCTCCTTTTCTCTTTATTGTAGAGAAAACCCAGAACTTTATTTAGAGCAGTTGCATGCTAAATATAAAGATCTTTCTGAGAAAGTTGAACAGAAAAAACGACTTAAGACAAATGGCGGGGCTCATACAAATGGGAATAATTTTTCTGGAAATGATGGCCGTGGGGAGAGATTAAATGCTGCAGAAAGGGAAAGGATGCGCCTTTTGACAACAGAAGCTTTTTATCGTGGCAAGGGTGAGGATATTTTCGGTGCCAAAGATGAAGATTGGCAACGTACAAACTCATGAGCAAAGATAACGATGATGATGATGAGGGACCAGATGTTGATGAAGCAGAGCTAGCACGTCTATCTTCTAGGCTCAAGGTCTGTTTATTCTGGTTCACTTATGTATTGGCTGTAAATTACCATTGTTGTTCGATCCTGATTATTTATTTTGGATCATTTCTTTGACAGGAAGTAGACCCAACATTTGTTCCCAAATCAGATAATGCAAACCCTCAATTTGTTGAAGCACCACGTTTCGTCCTCTTACCCAGGAAGATTTTCAAATTGTTTTCAGCATTGAAAGGTTCAGATGCCCAGAGATATCAGTTCGTCCCAACTGGATTGGGATCGACCAGGCAGGCTTAGCTGAGATGGCTGGGGTGTCACTGAGGAGGCTGCCAACTGAGTTCCAAGAGCTGGAGGAGAGGCTAACCAGTTTAATATTTATGACTAGTGGGAGTAGTCTTTTTCCTGGCATGAGCGGGCGCTTGGACGCTGGAATCCGGCTGACTCGGCCTTGTGGTTCTCCCATAAGGATAGCCAAAGCATTGGATCCGATATTGGATGCATGGCGCGGGGCTTCCGCTTACGCTGCCGCCTCCCATTTCCCGACACAAACTTTCAGCAAGGAAGAGTATTTTGAGTAGGGTGAAGACTCTGTCCGGAGATACCAGTTTCGGTATTATACATTGTAGTTGTTTTGTTTTGGTCACCCTTCTTACTGGATGTCCATTGAATGGCACTAAACTCAGCTTCTCACTTTTAAAACTCCGCGCTTGTCTCTCTTGCTGTAAGAGTTGCCCTCATAGGCGGTAGTCGAGCGACAATTGTACTCATTCAAATCAAACCCAACCCTAAAAGAACTTTTTTGGTAAGGAATGACACAATAATGTTGCGTTACAAATACATCAATATTTAATATTATAACACATTGTATTTAATAAACTATTGCCTGCGATATAAATTCGTTGTTAGTCATATCATAACACGTGGGTTAGTATCATTACTGGTCCATAATTACTTGATCCCTCCATAAAAAATAGAAAGAATATATGGTAAAAGGCACGCGGTAGCTCTTTATTGCCAAAAACTCTACTATATTTTAGTATACAACACGTATTGGATGTACAGTTATGAATTTAATAAATAAAGATATCATCCAACGACAAAAAAATTCAGTGCATTGAATCACATTAAGATTCAAAGGCCAAACAATAAACAATTAACTTCAAAGCAACGGCCTACTTTTGGTAACTACACCAAACTGCCAGCTTTAGACGAGCTCGATCAATGCGAAAAAAATGACCGTTGTAGCATTCTATACATGCACATTGCACATTGCACATCTTACATTTTTATTTACAGAAATTAAAAAATTAAATTAAAAGAAAAAAGCCCAGCACCGCTCCTATAAACCCCACTGTTATTCGACCGTTACAAGTCTTCCTCCACACTGAACCAAGAGAGAGAAACTCTAGAGAGAGAGAGGCCGGACTTTCGTTCCATTGCTGGTCCTTTGGCCTCCTCTTTCTCCCTTCAAAAACCCCATTAATTATACCTGTATGATATCGTCACATTCTTCAGACCCAGCAACCCAGCACCTCCTCCTCCAAGCAACCAAGAACCGCATCCGAGAAAACCCGGCAATGGAGTCACCTCAAACGAGGAAATACGGGCTTAACCTCCCCACCGGAATGTCCGAGACACTGCTCCGCCTTGATTCCGTACCGGTTTCCTTTCGGGGGGTTTCGAGCCTCTCAGCGTCCCCCGGTTCTTGTCGGGCGATTTCGAACCTGTCCTCGCCGTCCAAGTCCTCGACTTGCAGCGACAGATTCATCCCCTGCAGATCCTCTTCGCGGCTTCACACATTCGGGCTCAACGAGAAGGCCTCGCCGGTGAAAGAAGGCGGCAACGAGGCGTATGCCAGATTGTTGAAATCGGAGCTTTTCGGGTCTGATTTCGGGTCTTTTTCTCCTGCAGGTGGTGGCAGCGGTGGTGCGGCGTCCCCAATGAGTCCCAGCAAGAACATGCTGCGGTTCAAGACGGAGAACTCTGGACCCAACTCGCCGTATTCGCCTTCCCTTCTGAGAAATGACAGTGGGTTTTCCAGCGAGACAACGCCTCCCAAGCCTCCTCGCAAGGTCCCCAAGACACCCCATAAGGTAATTAATTATCCCCTGTAACCTGTTCTTCCCTCTTTAGATCTTTAATTTTTAATGTTAATTTTGAAAATTTTGGCAGCTTAGGAATATGAAAGACAGAACCTTGCTAAGAAAAAAGTGATTAAAATAGTTTAATTTAGCTAAATATAGCTTAATTCAGCTCAATTTAGCTTAATTAGCTTAATTGTAATGCAGTAGCAAGTTGATCTGATGGATTAGATTACGAGAATGGTTGATTTGAAAAGCTGCATTTCCTATGCTAGTTTGCAGGATTACTCAATATATGTCATAATTTTATTTTTTGATAAGTTGTATATTGTTGATAATCCCGCTTCATGAACAGTGGAGCAGAATCCCTCTTAAGAAGGGAATTATAGGGGAAAATTAAAATGGTTGATCTTAAAAGGCTTTGATGGGTTGCAGGTTCTGGATGCTCCATCACTACAAGATGACTTTTACTTGAACCTTGTGGACTGGTCTTCCCAAAATGTCCTTGCAGTTGGACTGGGGACCAGTGTTTATCTTTGGAGTGCAACAAACAGCAAGGTGAGTTTAAACATGGATTTCCAACTTTTTGATTCCGTGGTTTCGAAGTCTAATTCAAAAGCTGTCTCTGCCACTGTTCTTCAGTTTGTAGTAGTTTGTGATGCATTGTTTTTCCTCAGGTGACAAAACTGTGCGACTTGGGGCCTAATGACGGCGTGTGCTCTGTCCAGTGGACACGGGAGGGGTCATACTTGTCAATTGGCACAAGTCTTGGTCGAGTTCAGGTAGCTATTTGTTTGAATCGATTGTCCTCTGATTTTATACACTTGATAGACAGATGGCCATTAATTGTGATGTTTTGTTCTAGGTTTGGGATGGGACGCAGTGCAAGAGGGTTCGAACGATGGGCGGGCATCAAACAAGGACTGGAGTTTTGGCATGGAACTCACGCATATTAGCTTCAGGAAGCCGAGACCGGAACATACGTCAACACGATCTTCGAGTCCCAGATAATTACATCAGCAAACTTGTTGGCCACAAGTCTGAGGTATGAAGACTTCAAAAGACTTTGTGATTAAATGAGATTCTTGGAAAACTGCAAACAAAATTAACTTTTCTTCAAATTTCAATTCTTCAGGTATGTGGGCTGAAATGGTCCAATGATGACAGGGAACTTGCATCCGGTGGCAATGATAATCAGGTAGCCATTACTAAGTTGTTTATTTATTTTTCCTGTTCATGTTGTTCTCTTGCTATCTTCTGTTTTAGTCAATGGCTAACTTAGTGGCTTGTTGGTGACCAGCTCTTGGTCTGGAACCAGCATTCTCAGCAACCGGCTTTGAGGCTGACAGAGCACACAGCTGCTGTCAAGGCCATATCTTGGTCACCTCACCAGAGTGGCCTTCTCGCATCTGGAGGAGGAACTGCTGACAGATGTATTCGGTTCTGGAACACTACAAACGGCCACCAATTGAACAGTATCGACACAGGAAGCCAGGTACATTTCAGTTCTGTTATTCCTACAAGCATAAAAGAGAATACCCTCAACTCACTCAAGTCGACTTAAACTTACAGGTCTGCAATCTTGCATGGAGTAAGAATGTGAATGAGATAGTCAGCACTCATGGGTACTCCCAGAATCAAATTATGGTTTGGAAGTATCCATCCATGGGAAAGGTTAGCCTTTTCTAGTGATTTTAAACTTTGTAAATCTTCATATCGACTCAAAGCATAAGAAAATGCAGAAAAAACCTTTCCTGGTTGCAAGCCTTCTATCTAATTCCTTCTGGAATGTCCTCTTGTATAGGTTGCCACTTTAACTGGCCATAGCATGCGAGTTCTGTACCTTGCAATATCACCAGATGGTCAGGTATTGCACCATTTTTGCCAGCCCGTATACGCACAAGTTCTTGTTTGTTTAAGCCTAAATTTCTGTCTAACTCAAATAAAAATTCCTTTTACTGCAGACAATAGTGACGGGCGCTGGGGATGAGACTCTAAGATTCTGGAACGTCTTCCCATCTGTGAAGACACATGTAAGCATGAATATCATGATCCAATCTTCCCTCCCAAATCTGTTACGACTTCTTTTCTGATCCTTTTCATTTCGTTTGTTATTTCAGACATCAGTGAAGGATACAGGTCTTTGGTCACTAGGACGAACTCAGATTCGATGATTCTCTTGCACATATACATGAAGCGATATCTTGTAAATGGAGATGCTTATTTTCTTTGTGGTCAGAAGAATACTGTAATTTATCAGTAGTGAAAGCACATATTTTCTTCTTTTTCTTTGGTTCTTTTACCCCACACGAAGTTTTGGATTTTGTAAAGTGTTCTCGTCTGATTAAGAAATTCAATAATATACATTTTCAGTGTTCATTTCCAGAGCCTCCTGTCTAACCTTCATAATTTTCATCAGTTCCTTTCTGTTAGCTCAAAGATCTGAGAAATGTGTACGACATCGCAACTTGGTTCATAAAGTAGAAGTGAAAACCAAATAACAACATCAGTAACAGTCAATCGTAATCTTTTGAAAGACACATTTAGTACAAGATTGTTCAAAGGAATGTGGTATGGTTCAATTCAGGACACAATAATTCACAGCCGCGAATCGATCAGTTTACTCGTCTTGCAATACGCCTACAATGTTCACAAACGTTGGATTTCTACTTGTTTGGGTGCAATCTTCATTCTAAGTCTTTGCCTGCGACTGCAGACCTTGACATATCAAATAAATCTCTCTTGACGATGATCTTGTAGCTTTAGGCCTCAACAACGATGCCTTTCTAAACAGCGGTTTGCAAATCTTGTTGATTTCTGCAGAACAAACAGCCAGAAGACGGGTAAAAAAACATATCCATACAGAGCTTCAATGGAGCAATTACCGCTATTATGTTACCAGAACAAAGGGGAAAAACAAGAAAGGAACTAAGAAAAGGACCTTGCACATCTTCACTCTCTAAAAGCTTTATCACAAGATTACCTCCCCTTCGCAATACACCATTATCATCTGAAATTGTAGTTGTCCCATCATTACTTTCCTCTGTTTGAATTTCGTTATTGGAATGAGCTAAGGCAGCTCCACCAACAGCCAAATTCAGTGCTTGCATACCTAACTCGAGCGATAAAGCTGCATCTTTACTTGAGATTCCAGAAACGAGGGGACACATATCCGAGAGTACCACAGAAAACCCTTTCTGCTGCACAAACACAATGGCAAAACCATGAATCTCTTCCCTATTCCTATCCTGCATCTGCAAGAGGATCCTATAAACGTTTTCCTTCGCAAAAAGCTAAGGTTGGTTTTTATTAAGTTGGAAATTCATGTGCACATGCTACAATGTCAAAAGTTGGCAAGGAACCAAAATATTATTTGTTTCACACCTTGAAACATCCTGAAACAGGGTTGAAGGACAACGTGATCATAAATCGAAACAACAGCATAATTAATCAAGTTTCTAACAATTCTTGGACATAAAAAGTTGCTGTGAAGATTTGAATTGTTCTCACAATCGAAAGACGTAAATTAGCACAAGCATGTTGAACCATTGTTAATTAAAGCTAAGAAGCTAAGACAACAATACCTGTGGAGATAGTTCCCTGACATGGGCTCTGGGGAGTTTCATGACGTCGGCGCAAACAGTTTGAACCCTCGAATCACAATGCTCAGCTGGAACCTTCACCTTCTGTTCTGCAAATTCCGCATTTCACAACCCAATTACTCTATATAAATTATCGAATCAACAGAAAGAGCACGAAAATTTAACTCGAAAGGATAGTGAAAAATGAGACCTTGAGATCAATCCCAACAACAAGGCCGCCATTTTTGAGGGGACCCAAGCTCTGGCAAGCCACCTGCAAATTTCAACAAAAACCCATGAATGTTATGAGCAGACAATCGAAATTTGAGTATAAAGTTAGGATTTTGAAATGACCAAAAAGGACCTGAAGCCAAGCGCCGGGAGCACAGCCGAGGTCGAGAACAGAGGAGCCAGGGGTTATGAGCTTGTACTGTTTCTGCATCTGAAGCAGCTGTTGAAAGATGTGGGTGGGTTAGTGGCAATTAGAGACATGAATGTTGGGTAAAAGGGTAAATCAATGAATACCTTGAAGGCCGAGCGAGCCACATAGCCCAGGCGTTGAGCCTCTCTGTAGAAGAAATCTGGTTTTCCTGCCCCACTCATCTTTTACCCCTTTCTTCCTCTCTGTTTCTTTCCCTGCTTTCTTCTTCGCAATAAAACCCTAAACCCCAACCAACAGCGAGTTTATAAATAAATAAATAAATAAATAAACTTATACATGACCAAAAACGTCATCCGAGGTGAACTCGTTTTTATTCCAAATATCACTCTTAATCTCGTTAATTAAATTGATAACGTGGTAGATATAACATTTCAAACTGAAGTATAAACGTCTTACATCATTGAGATCACATTGTGCGATTGATTTTCTTTTCATTCTACTAAATATTAACCGAGGAGAAGACGAAGCTCCATGATGACAATTTTTTGTTTATGTTGTGCTAGTTTGGTTTCCATGCCAACCCACAAATGAATCGATACTTATCACGTCATTATTTTGACAAACAATCAAATTAGCAAATAGCTAAAAGACATATATGAGTACAAGTTTTTTTTTTTTTTTTTTGACAAACGATACTATTTACACTAAGAGGTAGGAGAGTTGCTAACTCTCTCAATGAGCTAGCAATAATGCGGTTCAATTTTGTTTTTGATGAGAATTAAACCTAAGACTTCTCACATACAAGTGAAAAGGAATATCACTAAATCGTAATACCAAATAGCATATGAGTACGACTTTTAACTCTCATAATACAATGTTATTGTGAGGAAATTGAAACTCTACAACTCATTCCCAACCTAAGAAGGTGTAAATCGTAGTAGCGCTAAATTCTTTGGTGGGTTATTGCCTATAAGAAAACGCAATTCTGTTGGATAAAATAGGTTAGCTGTTGAACGGGGAAAGCGAGGAATACAATACAATTGGTGAGATAAAGTTGTTGCTGTTGTCCCACATCGCCCAGAGATAGATGAGAAGCTGCTGGAGAGACTATAAAATGGAACAGAAGCCGTTTGTTGAAACCATCTTTGCGCTTGGGGCAATGACGCAGCTTATGAGGTTCTAACCGAGGCGTGTCTATTGCTGGTTGAAAACTATTTCCAAACCCCCTCACTGGCCTGGGCTCAGCCTTGGCCTCTGAGAATTTCTGGAAGGGCTCCCTTCGGGGTAAAGCCCTACAATTCCTAGTCCAAATTTCTTGCAGTCGATGGTTTATTAAAATAAATAATAGGGGTATAAATTATAATTACTCGATGTAAGATTATATGTACAGCGGAAAATACAAATACGGTAAATTATGTTAATAAAATTACAAGATTGTCCCTAACGCTGGATGCCGCAAATGACAGAGGGAGGATGTCCTTTGCTAACCTTCGCAAAATCTCGTGATTCAAATTGCGTAAACCCGGCCCTCAGATTCCTCACCTGCCACTGCCTGTATGTCTGGTCTCTCAACCTCTCCGAACCCTCACACGCAATGACATTCATTGCCTGCTTACCGAAGACCTCCCTCTCAATCAAAATCCTCTCTGGAGCATCATGCGGGACGTTCATCTCAAGCATATCGAACAATGTGGAAAAGTGGAAGAGGCCCTCCCGAAATCCCCAATGTGTAGATATCCGGATTTATGGTCCTGACTCCTGATGAGTTTTAAAACAACTGTGTATCGAGTTCACAACAAGCGCCTCGTCACGATCAATTTTAAGATCCTCGATTTGAATGGTGTCCTACTTTTGTGCTATTGCATTGAACTGAAATGGAACTTTATAAGTTTCCGCATACCATCCTTGTTGCTTTCTCAGCTACTTCCATTATTGTCTTGTTTGAGAAGAAAAACGATAGCCTCTTAAACGACACACAACAAGATATAGATAGTAAGCCTTCAAGACATCTGCAGCTGATGCTGGCTTGGACACAAGATGTTTGTAAATCTGAGCACCGGATCCATCCATGCGTGCCTCAAAGACCATCAGCAAAATAGTGAGCTAGTCTTTGCATCGGGTTTTCCACTGCCAGAAGAGAAGAATGCTGTCTGATATGCTTAAGCAACTCATTGCGCGTCCTCTTATCATTAGCTGCAACCGCTCGTGCACAAAGAGTCAAAAGAGTTATCAAATCCACCACTTCCTTACCTCAGCTCCCATACGTATAGCATCTGCCTTCCCCTCGTTAAGTAACATCGTGTTACTTTCCAAATTAACAATCTGTCCATTACCATTCGGAAGAAACCTACTTGCTTCCTCAGAGCCTCTTTTAAATTGCACAGCCGACACAATCTCAATTCAAAAAGTGAGGAACTCTAAGAGTGCTCGGAAAAGAATTCACACCCTGTCTACAATATTACCACTTCCATTCGATGAGGCATGGAATGACAAAGAATTGGACTGAGAAGAAACATGCAAGGATTTGTACTCACGCAAATCGCAACCCCGAAGCCAATCCAAGAGGTAGTATTGTAATCACTAGAAAGCCAAGGATGACATTCATCTCGGCTTTCATTGTTTTGATCAGCATACGAAGTCATGTCACAAGGAGGAGATAGAGAGTGATCCTCTCCAAGAAGCTCATAAAATGATTGCTCTGCAGCTTCAAATGCTGCAGGCTCATGATATATTTCGGTCTTTTCTTCCATAGGAATTTGGTTAATGTACTTTGAGAACCACATCACTAAAATCGCAGTCCTCGGATGATTCCCCATCCGAATTCGTGCTCAAATCCGGGCCCAAATTACTCGAAATTGGATGTGAAGGTGCACAATTTGGATCAAGAAACTTACCTGTTGTCTCATATACATTATCTCAGATACATTACCTAAATTCTGGTTAGTATTTCTGAACACAACATGTTGTCTCAGATACATTATATCGTTCAAAGTTCGTATTCACAAGCGTGTAAGTGACTGTCAATTGTTGATGCATGTGAGTTTCATAAAGTATTAACAAATAATATCACTCGCGTGCATGTTAATTAGCCCTTTCCTCCCTCTTCATCACAACCAATTACATTTAATGTCCTCTTTAGTTACACACCAAGCTCAACTCAAATTAAGTCTTTGATTTTTTTAATTACTCTTTCTTTTTTCGTGTTATTTTGTTTTAATTTTTTAATTTTGGGCCAAATGCCCAAAAGGTAATATGGCCATGTGATCAAGAGTGAGGAGATCATATTATCATCAGCTCCTTTCATATAGGTGAACAGAACAACATTGTTTCAAGAATTCAACTTTTATTTCGGGACCCTCGTGCATACCTAATGTGGGCTTTTGACAGTAACACTTTGGGTACGAAGGTACCCACGAACATATATCCATAACCGATGAAATTTTACTCACAACAAATATTTACAAAGATACTTTAACACCGTTTTGAGGTGTTTTAGATCCAATTTAGTTCCTTGGTGATATGCTGACCAATTCAAAATACGTAGGTAAGTAGGCAAGAAGAAGTTGCGTACACTACAAACTTTGCCAGGCAACAACTCAACAAGATAAATTTATTTTTTCTCAACTATACACGTGGTTTTGCACGTGCCAAATGTGCTAATATGTCAGAGCCACCGCCCAAGTTAGTTGGCCAATTCAAAAAAATTAAATAAATAATTAGTCCAACCAAAAAGGTGTAAATTATACGCAACTCAATCATGCAATTGCAACCCATCTTTGAATCGAAAACAATGACGTTGACTGACTTGCAATGCAAGTAACACGCATCACATTCACATGGAAGTTACTAACACAGAAGCAACAAATTGAAGATAATTAAGACAAGTTTATTCCTGTTTATGAACATTCACATTTCTCTACATTACAAGTTGGTGAAATAAAAACAAATTGAATTCAAACGACTGTGAGTTTCTGTTAGACTGATCTTTATTCCGCCGAACCATTTACATTTGCCGGCCTCCCTCAGACAGAGACGCCGGCAATTGAATTTAAACTGTGGGGGTGAGGATTTTACACAAATTTTGGGTCATTTGTACAGTTGTCTTCTTCTTTCCCTGTTTCTGTCAACGTTTCCTGTTTTTTTCTACATCATACAATCGGATACCTTTCAGCTCCATGCCTCTCGGTCGGGTGCATCTGTGATCTTCAGAATGTTGGCAAGGCCGGGTGCTTGCTGTGTTGCTTTGCTTGGTGTTGGCACCAGTAAGAATGGGCAGCCAACACTCGGTCCAAAAGCTCCTGAGGAACGGGCTCTCCCCTTCTTTGCTGAGGAGAGATTTTTGCAGTGTGGACTAAGGTTTTCCATTTATCCTGCATAAAACCACCACAAAGCACATCAAATACAACACAAATCATGTAACCTGTGCTTTCCAGAGAAGCACTCAATGGCAATGTACCTGCAAACAAAATAATGATCGAGTGATGTAGGACAAGATAACCAGACAAACAAAGTTTACCTTCAGGTCCACATAAGTTCGATGATCTGCATTCTCAAATGAGCGCAATTTAACATCGCGCCACCTGCAGATTCATAACATTGTTAAACCACTATTATGCTTCAAAATGGAATCATGCATCTCACACTGATCCTGTTTAAGTGGTAACGAACATCACACCTTCCAGTTCCAAGTTCCTCAACTGCTGTCACCAATGCTTCGACTTCTGAGACAGAGAATGGTCTCCTGGTTCGACGCTGTGCAAGCTCAGATCGCTTAGTTTTCTGGCTCACAGGAACTATGGCTAGTGGCTCCATGCTCATTTCTGGAATTGCAACTAGCGCCTGGGATTCCAGCATTGTTTTGTTGGTCAATATGTCAATATGAGAGGAAACTGGTTCATGCTTAGTTTCAGCAAGACTGCCTGAATTGGTTGTAGGAGGAACGTCAGACAACACATCAGACATTGGAGAGTCCAAGACAGGTAAGCCTGGGGACCTGAAACAACGATGCATATTTGCTGTAATGAGAACACACGTGAAAAGCTGTTCCTCAAGTCAACAGAGCAGAACCGTAATGCAAAACTTGTCCTATCCATTTAGATTAAAGCTGAACAATTTTTTTTTTCCACATATGCATCATAACACCATCATCATGAATAATTAGCACACTATTGCCAACAAAATTGCATTAATTAAGAATTTATGATACTAAATCAAATAACGCATACCGGAGGGAAATTCATCTATTAATTGTCCAACCAGCCTCAAATATTTTGTATAAGCAGCTA